TAGAACGGGAAGTGAGTGAACACATACGATCGCTCGCACCCTTCATGATCATCCCCCTGCAGAGAGCGGTAACTGTAAGTAACCTTTCCCCACAGGGATCCCCCCCCCCTCCAGCACTGACTGGAGGAACGGATGGGCACAGCTGGCTCTGCCTCTAGATATAGGCAGAGCCCGATGTCACTCACGCAGCTGGGTGGATCTTGACAGTATTGTCGGGATCAGTCCCGGCTGCGGCGCTCTCTGTATATAGCGAGCGATAGCGTGCTATATACTGAGCTTTGGGTCACGGGCGGATGTTAGTACATGTCCTCCTGTGACCCTAAAGAGAACTAAAGGGATAAAAGGTCACCCCATAATTCTCTTTTAAAGCTCAATTTTCTGCTTGTTAAGTATACGGAAATAGTTTAACGTCCATAGTCTGGCCACAGACACATTAACCCTTACCAGCCATCATTGTTGTATTATTGTAAATATATACACATCTGTTGATGACACATCTAAGAAGAAGTCTATAGAATTTATCTTCAACATTTCTTTCCATGGTGATGAAAAAAAAAAAAAAAAAGGGGCAGATGCATGTTTTCACTGCGCTGCTCAGGACTGTATCTTTGCAGCAGCTGCAATTTCACCTGCCATGTGAAGTTTGACAGCCTTTTAAACGTGCCCATGGAAGTAAAAGGGATTGCATCACAAACACTGGGCACATGGTTGCCGAGCGGTTTTTCTTGGGATGAAAAATAAACCGGCATGCAGTAAAAAAAAAAAAAAGGGGCAGATGCATGTTTTCACTGCGCTGCTCAGGACTGTATCTTTGCAGCAGCTGCAATTTCACCTGCCATGTGAAGTTTGACAGCCTTTTAAACGTGCCCATGGAAGTAAAAGGGATTGCATCACAAACACTGGGCACATGGTTGCCGAGCGGTTTTTCTTGGGATGAAAAATAAACCGGCATGCAGGAGGTGGCATTAACCCCTTCTGCACACATGGATCACTTTTTAGAGCAGCAGTAAAGTCTTTAGATCAGGGGTGGGCAAACTCCAGCCTCCAGCTGTTGTGGGACTACAAATCCCATGAGGCATTGCAAGACTCTCACAGCCACAAGCATGGCTCCCAGAGGGAGATGCATGATGAGATTTGTAGTTTCACCACAGCTGGCAGGCCAGAGATTGCTCATCCTTGCTCTAGACTAGAGTGTGGAACCCCCCTAAGGGTCACCATACACATTACAATATGACCATACAATCAGCTTTAGAGATACTAAAACAATGGTATGAGGATCAACCCAATCAATTTGTATCCAATCAGACAAGACCTAGTACTGCATAGATGTTAGATCTACAGGAGATTGTACAATCAGATTGTATAGTGTATGGTCAGCTTCACACAGGCAGCAATAAAAACCCAACAATGGTTCTCACCCCCTCCCCCACACTATCCAAGTCTTTAAAAAAACTTCCATTACATTACACTTTAAGTAAAAACAACTCAAAAGCCAACAGCATTACCACTTAAATCATATTATATTAATGTGTATGATAAAAGGGATTCCAGGCCAGGACTGTTCCACTATACTGGGTCCTCTCCCAGTACATCAGCCATTGTGTAATAGATATACATCACTGGACGTGTTCTGCTAACGCTGCGAGCTCTGCTCGGGTCCCCCAATCCTGCCATAGTACACTACAGCCACACCAGCCGCTCTTACCTGGTGGCAGCTCGCCGTGCCTGGATAGGAGACGCCTGCGTAGTCGGGAACGTTGTACAGCTCGCACCCAGCAGCGATCTACACAGCGCACATTTGAAAATTGCGCTTCCGATTGGTGCAGCCAATCAAGGATCGGCGTTTTCCGTGAGCTGTTATTGGCCGCCTAACTAGAACCCTGGTTGTTATTGGACAGCGCTATGACAGAAAGGAGGGGCCGATGCAGATGAGCTGACGCGTGCTTGCGGATTGGCTGAACTTCAAAGCACGTGATCAGGTTTAAACTTCTGCAGCTGCTGGGGAGGGGCCGGTGCTCTGATGTCACAGTCGGTGTTGGGTTACTGTACGTTCCAGAGGTTCACAATGCAGCGTTATTCCCTCTGGCTTCGCCCGTTTGACATCCAGTGTTTATGTAGACTGGCTAGATAGTGAACATGTAATAACCTTAAAGGAACAGAAGAGATTTCGTACTGGATATAACTTGCTTTTTTTTTGTTTTCAATAAAGTTTTATTCAAATTCTCAAAACAAAGACGTCTCAAACTTCTCTTTCTCCAGTATGGTGATATACAAGTAAATTAAAGGAGAACTACGGGGTAAGTGTTTTTCTGGCGTCCTCCCGTGACCCAAAGCTCAGTATTTCGCAAGCTACAGCTTGTGGTATACTAAGCGCGCCGCAACTGGGACAGATCTTGACTTTAACGTTGAGATCCATCCAGCTGCGTGACAGCTGGCTCTGCCTGTCTAGAGGCAGATACAGCTGCGCCCGTCCGTTCTGCCAGTCAGCGCTGGAGGATCGGAGAGGGGAGCCGTGACTGACAGGAGATTATCGAGAAGTGAGCGAGCTACAGTATGTGTTCGCTCACTTCCCGATCTACAGAGCTGATGTGTGACAGTTTTATAGTCACAGGTCGGCTCGAACTATGAGAGTGAGTGATTTTCACCCTAGAGACCCCTAATGTCTCCATAAAGAGGACCTGTCAGTGTGCCTTTGCTATTATATAGGGGGATTTTTATCCCCCTATGTAATAGCAATGACATTAAGTGTAAAAAATACATAAAAAGTTAAAAATAAATAAATCACATATAAAAACATTTTTTTTTTTAAAACCCCACATTTTTAAGTACCCCACCCCCACGTTTACGCACATATAGACGTAAATAAGCGTCTGGTGCACCAGCGCGCGAAAACGACAATTGCGCTACTCATGTTACACGTCGCAGTGAGAGCAATAATTCTAGGGCCATTATTCACTGATAACACTAAACTGATGAGCGGTAAAAGTTTTTAAAGCGTCGCCTAGGGCCAATTTTGGGTATTATAGTTTTTTGAGGTTTTGCGTGCGCACGCAATTTTAAGGCTTGACATGTTTAGTGTCTTTTTACCCGACGTGACCCCGTCTTTTATATTTTACCAAAAAATGGGGTAATAATAAATGTTTTATCATTTAATATAGGGGAAACTGTTTTTTTTTATTTTTAAATTCGGTAATTTTTCCTTAATATAATAAAAAATAAAACCCCCAGTGGTGATTAAATACCACCAAAAGAAAGCTCTATCTGTCCCCAAAAAATGGTATAAAAATGTATTTCAGTACAGCGCTGCATGACGGAATAAATGTCATTCAAAGTACTGCAGCGCTTAATACTGAAAAATGGCCTGGATGGAATGGGGGTTTAACACCGCGGACTTCAAGTGGTTAAAGGATGTGTGAACCCCTGAAAAGAAATGTAATATATTGCAGCTTACTAGTCTTTAAAGTCACCCTTCTGAAATGATGGCAGATAGCAAAGAAGCTATTCCTTCCCGTGCTATCTGCTGGGGGGTTTTTTCTTTAGTATTCTGACAGCTGCTGCCGTCAGAATAATTAAAAAAATGATAGTAATGAATGGCTATATTGCTATTGGCTATTTCAATTTGCAACAGCAAGCTGGCTATTGCGCCCGCCCTCTGCTGCTGTCAATCAGCAGGAGGAGGACCTGATGGAGAACTTTCAGGTCCAC